CTGGCCGTTTTTCGGATTGTACATTTTTCTTCCTGAGCTGAGACCCATGTACTTTCACTGTCCATAGCTTTCTTGGTCACTGTCTCTCCCCATCTGTTGCGGCCTAGAGCTATGTCTTCCCAATTGTCAGTATTGATGTTCACTGATTTGAGGTCACCTTTTATTACATCTATGTAACGGAGTTGGGGGCGACCAGTTTTTCTTGTGCCAGTTGCGAGTTGACCATAGAGGATAACTTTCGGGATGCGCTTGTCCTCCATTCGGCAAACATGTCCAAGCCAGCACAAACGACGTTGTCTGAGGGTTGTAAAGATGCTGGGAATACCTGATCATGCAAGGATCTCAGTATTGCACACTTTTTCTTTCCATGTGACATTCAAGATCCTACGGAGACATCTCAAATGGAATGAGTTCAGTTTTCTCTCTTGCTTTGCGTAGGTGGTCCATGATTCACAGCCATACAGCTGTGTACTAATAACGCATGGCCTGAGTCTAGCGAAAGTCGAGGCAGCCTTCCCTGTGCGTTTTTTTTTTCCCTCTTCTAGAGACAGGTCATCTTTAATTGTGGATCCCAGATAGCAGAATTCGTTTACATTAACTACTAATAAATTAATAATAAACTCTAAAATACAAGAAAAGTAATAATGTTTTTCTTCACATTAAAAAAGATGCGGGTACATCTCACCAGTGCGTACAGTCACAAAAAAAAGCACTGGGTTCTCATTAGAAATAATAATCCTAACATTTACCTTGTTATTGGTCTAATCAATGACTTTTAATTTTTGTTTCTGTTATAATAGATTAAATGTATAATGAAAATGCTGAATAGTTCAATATATAAATTTTTAAATGAATTATTTATACATTTCCTTTTACTGAGCTTAGTTTAAATTTAATAAAAAATATTTTCTTGAATATTTTTTTTTAGACATTTTCATGTAAAAGAAAATCAAATATGTTAGATTTTATATTTAAAAAAATGTACAATATTTTTCGTAGATCCCTTGCAGATTTTTGTTTGTCCAATAAAACTCAGTTTCTTTGATTGTAATAATATTTGCACTGAAAGAGTTAAGAAAAAAAAAAGAAAGAAAAATGAAATGACCCTTGTCAAAACTAATCTATTAAAGTTACCTCTAAAAGTCTGCCAAGCACAGTTGCTCCTTTATCTGTGATTAAATTATAGCGCAAATCAATGCTTCGAACATATCTATTTGTTTCAAGGGTTTTGTAAAGGACCAGGCAATCTTCATCTGTGATTCTCTCGGTAGTCAGCTGTGGGTGATTACCAGCAAGGTAAAGATGCATGGATTCCTGAAACTCCCTGAAATAAAAAAAAAAGAAGCATCAACACATTATAATTTTAAGGCTGTAACAACAAATATAGAAATGGTTTCCTGGACCTAAAATAACAATATTTTTGTCATAAATTTAAGCAACTGCATAGACTGATATATAATTTAGAAGTTTATGAAAGTGTTTTTTTTCTTAAATAAGTACGGTACTTGCCTAGTAAAACAACAAACAAAATAATAACAATATAATTCAGATCAATTAATAACTAAATTTGTGATCCAAATTCACTATTAATAGAAAATGGGCATTCTTATTATGATTTTAGCTTCTAATTGTAAATCACTTTACTTAAAACATTGAATATAAAACAATTAAACATGTCTTCAGAGTGAAGACATACATTTTAAAAAGTAATTTAGAGTCTATAGAGAGAAAAAACAGTATTAACAAGGACAACAAATTATAGTTTTAAATAATACAATAAACATTAAAAAAATGTTTTCTCAAAGATATACTCAATTACTGTAGACATTGATTATTACATGTATATATTGCTGGAAATCTATATAGTTAACAGAATGCATTTTTAAGGGAAAGACAAGTCTGCAATTATAAAGTAGGATCATGCATTAGACCTATCAGTCCATAAGCTGTGATGGAAAAGCCACTTGGTGCTATTGCAATACAAAGAGATGCATTTTTTAAAGAGTTAAATTTGAAACATCAGATATAAGAAAATTGAAAAGTAGAACACATCAATCCTTCAAACCAAAGAAAACAATTATCATTTGAGAAAGTGCAAATATATCTCCCTCTTTCTTTCATTATATACATATATATTTAAAGTAGCCCTCAGCAAATATTGTCTTTCCCACATCAGATTTGAAATCCTGAAGTTTATTTATTTGAATACAAGTACAAATAAAAATTAATTATCATTTAAGTTTTCATTTCTTAATTGAGTCATCGGCAATTAGTTCACTCTTCAAGAGTGTTAATGTATATATAGAAAGAGAGAGAAGCCTATATATTTATATACATAATTTATATCTAAAAATATATAAACAGTTAATATATTTTTAAAAATTTATTTAAATTCAAACTTTTTTTTTCTGCAAAGAAGCTAAGAGTTCTTTTTCTTATGGCCATACATGTTAATAATCAAAGGTGACATTAAAATCATGCATGCAGTGCAACAACATTGCAGCGGAAAATAAATGTACTTACTCATTTCTTGACTGACGGCTGCACACACAAAAATTATAATGAAAAATAGATGTGATGTAAAAGTATTAATAAATAAGTGGAATTTAAATAACTGTGAGGTGGCTTATTTGTTATTCAGCTGAAGATCAAAACATTAAATTCTGCCCTTGTGAGAATTAAGCACTTTGGTACAAAGCATTTATCTACAGGAGGCTCGATGGCTGAGCGATAAAGTGCTTGGCTTCGATCTGAACTGAGGTCCGGGGTTTGAATCCTGGTGAAGTCTGGGATTTTTAATTTCAGGATCTTCGGGCGCCTCTGAGTCTACCCAGCTCTAATGGGTACCTGACATTATGTGGAAAAAAGTAAAGCAGTTGGTCGTTGTTCTGGCCACATGACACCCATGTTAACCGTATCAATGTAAACAGATGAACTTTATATCATCTGCCCTATAGACCACAAGGTCTGAAATGGGAACTTTATTTTTTTTTATTTATCTACAACATCTGAAATAATATTTACTGAGTAATGGCCATACAAGAGATTTGAAAACAAAATTTTTAAAATTAATCATTCTTGAAGATCTGCATCAAATGATTGTGATGTAAAGCAATTAAGATATTGAACATTCTGCACACTTTGCATTGTTTATATATAAGTATTAGATGTTTCTTTAGAAAGGAAAAATAAATTATGTCCTAACTCTAATCTAATGCAACACAGGAGGGGATAGAAGTAGACAGGGTTCAAACCCACGACCATCAGTACCACAATCCAAAGTGAATACCACATGACCAGGAAGCCATTCAGAAACGCATACACAGAATAAAAAAAACTATGAATTCTCTATGTGTTTCAAGCCTGATTGATAAGTCTACATATTTCTAAAATTGACTGGGTTATCTTCAGAACAACACATTGATTGAAACTGTATAAAGGCTTAAAAGCATATATTTAAATTTAAAACAGGAGCCTACCCAGTTGACATAAATTTTTTTCTTCTATTCTATGACAACAGTTTAAGTTATATTTTATTAAATACAATTTACAAAATTGTATTTCATGTCATTGACACATACAAGAAGAAACACTAAAAAATGATATTCTACTTACAGAACATTATTTTCTTTTTCCTTCTCTAACATATTTGATATGTACTGTGGTGGATCCATAGCCAGCTCAATGCAAGCATTTTCAAAGCAAAACACAGTTGATATAATGTCAGACATTTTTCTTCACTCCTTATGTATGTCTCTGCATTGCAAACATTTTAAAGGATATTTTGAAAATGATTTAAGAATACCAGAATGTACTATGGTATGATTTGAATTTGAATAAATTATATTCAGAAATAATAATAAAAAAAAATTTACATTTATGATATGTTATAGTTATATTATCAAATTGTGTACAATGAGAGCCTGAGGTTTACTAATTCATTCAGCAAGAATAACTGCGTCATTGACCTCAAATTACATTGGACCAAAATTGCATTAGCTTATAGGTTTAGACTTAGTCAGGATATGTCAAAAAGCTTTGTCAATGTATAAGGACATTGAGCTAAGCTGCTGCAAAAATGTGGGGCTGGAGTTGAAATCCCAATTGAAACTCAAAATTTTCCATTCAAAATGTGTCAAATTGTATTAGGTGCATGCCTAAAATAAGCAGAAAGCTTTTTTCCATTGGACCATAACATATTACTATTTAGTATAGCATAATGTGAAGGCATTTATACTAAAACAAATAGTAATAATAATACATCTAATAACAGTAATTTTCAAAAGAAGAAATATGAGAAATATTGTAGGTGCTTGACTAATTAAATTGTAGGATTTATTAATTATTATGCTACTTATGTAATCTTATTAAGACTATATATAAATATAAACTCAAATTAATCTAATTTATTTTTAGAATTATGATTTGCTTGTTTTACATGTTTCAACTATTCCTTCAGATTTAAAGATTATTAATCTAGATCCTAGCCCAAACTTCCCACAGGATGGTAGGGGAGGGTGGCAGGCAGGCCTGAAACCATGCAGGGGCCATCAAGATAACATCCAGTCCAGCAACAGGCATCATTGCAGGCAGTATAAATGTTTGTTCCTACAAGCTTTATTTCACAGTAACTAAAAAAAAAATGCACTGCACTGCACTCTATTTTTTAAAACATTAAAGACATAGAGATTTAAATTATAGGCCTATAAATACTACAATTAAAAACAATCAAATGAAATCATATTATCTTATCAAGAACGTTATCTATAAAGAGAACAAAAATCAAGATTCTACTCAGTAACTCACCACTACAAAATTGACACTGCTTACTAAAACATTAAAACCAACAGTGTGCAAATTATATTATTATATCACGTCGATTCTAGATCTCATCTATATTAAGATCTAAGTGATATTTAATGAATATGTAAAGACTAAATGAGGCTAGTTAATGAATTAATAAAAAATTTACAAATATTTGAAATAATAAACAATTTTATTATCACTATCAGTCCATGTATTCATTTATTATGATTTATTCATTATTATATAGATCTAGACCTATGTCTATCTCGAAACAAATTCGTTCATTGCAAGTACAATGGCTTTAGATCCTGAACATTATCAACAATAAAGATCTCGACCTATTGATACTCTGCAATTGTATACTTTTTGTGTATAATCCAGTTACAATCTAGTATAAAAATAATAGTACTTTTTTATACCAAGGTGATACCGGAAGCTAGACGCCAAATCGTTGCTAAGGAATTTTTCAAAATCATTTGGCAATTTATCTTTGTTTTCATAAAAAAAAAAATTAGAAAAGATTGAAATGACATATAAGGATCTGTGATTGAAACTTAGATTTACGAATATTTTCTTTCTTTTCAATAGAATTTACCTAGATTTATTTTCTCTCTCTCGACTCTCTCTTGATACGCTGAGTACTTAAGTCCCCCGCTGCTTCGCAGTTAGAATCTAAAATCTAGTAGCACGAGGACTCGCTGTTTCGCGAATTTAAAAAATATATAGATATATAAATGTTAATTGTCAAATATTTATTAATACTTTATTAATACTTTACCTGTTTCGTAAGCCAATACAGCTCTAGATTCGATGAATTTTGCAAAGAAAACCTGAAAATTAAATTTCCTAGAAACTTCAATTAATAACACCACCTTACTTTGACAAGAAGAAAGCAACACATGGCAGCAAACGCCTTCCGAACGAGACAACCGGAGTTTTATTATAAGGGCCGTACGATATCATCTTTCACACTACGTAGAGCGATAAGTTAAATTACTGCATGTGTTGAATTATAAAGTGTCGAAGCATCCAAGAGTCAACTGTATTAGCCTATATTTAGTATAGTTCCCCTCGGTAAGCCTGTAAATATAGGCTAAGCGCAGTTTTATAAAGAGAATTTCAACTTTTTTTTTTCAAATGTAGAGTTTTAATAACATCGCCTAAAGAATAGGTTGGATTAGTTGTCCCCGGGTACGCTATTCTGCCTCAACGTGGCACTTGGGTGGAAACGACCATTAGAGGAAGTGGTTAGGCTAAATGAATAGCAAAACAAAACTTCTGTGGGAGTTCCAAGGGAACGCGAGAGTGGTCCCATTGCACGGAGCAGAGTTGAAAGAGAGCTCCCACGGTCCTGTCGATTATCCATGCGCCGTTCTTCAAGGGACCGTTACATTAATGGCGAGTCCTGCACGGCTTGGTAGGTCTAGGAAAATGGCGGAGGTTCCTGGTATACTCGGCATTCGACCATGCTTTCTAGCCCATGCTCCCGGAGTGCCAGATATATCGGAAATAGCAATGCTTTACATAGGCATTGATTCGGATCTCTTCCAGACAGAACGGTTGTTTAAACAGGTTTTTTTTTTTTTTTTTTTTTCCCTGTTCAATCAGGTTTTTTTGTTTTTTTAAACATAGAGCTCGAAGAGCCTTCAGCTCAGCTCTTAGACAATCAAACGTATTAGTTGTCCCCGGTCTACGCTAACGCTACCCAGCATCAAAGTGTGCCGAGTGGAAACGATTAGGCCAGTAGGTGTAGCAAAACAAGACTTCTAGTGCTGCCTAAGGTGTGAGAACTCAGGGTTACAAAGAGAGTTTAAATGTTTAAAATGTATCAGTAGAAATTTTGTATGTAGGCCTTATCTATGTTTAAATTATGTTTTTGAAGATGATGTACATGTGTAGGACCAGTTATTTTTAGAGGAATAGGGAAAAGGTTTTGTTTTTGTGGCATTTTACGTCTCGAGAGACGATTTTTTCCCTTTGCAACTTCTTGTGTGACTAAAGAGGCCAATCCTTGATACACAGCTGCGATCGCAGGTTGGGCATATATAATCACCAGGCGCCGTTGCATTTTCACCCCTCTTTCTGCTTCTGTTGTGTATGACATCTGCAATCTTTGACCCTTCCTTTATGCTCTCTCTCCATGAGGGTCTGTCCAGTGCCACCTCTTCCCAGTTGCCAGTGTCGATTTTGAAAAGCTTCATGTCGCGTTTGCATACATCGGTATAACGTAAAAGTGGGCGACCAGCGGCTCTCCTGCCTTCTACAGTATTAGATCGCGTACAGGATGTCCTGTGGGAGTCGACCTACTGGTATTCTACGAACGTGACCAAGCCAGCCAAGGCGTCTGCTGCTGATAACAGAGCGGATGTCCTGGCACCCAGCTCTTTGTAGCACTTCCTCATTGGTTATCTTATCTTGCCACCTTATTTTAAAGATCCGCCTTAGGCATCGGAGGTGGAAGACATTCAGCTTTTTCTCCTGCCATGAGTAGGTTGACCTGGGTTATGTTTAAAACTTCAACTAATGTATAACATACCATAAGAGCATGGAATGCTTTCGGGTTCCTTGAATCAGCCAGGAAAACAAATGACTAAGCAGACTTCAAGTTTCTAGGTAACAATGCACAACTAGATTAAAATATGTATACTCGTAGGCTGTAATATCTTCACTTTTGAAAGAGCGTCTGTAATTTATAAAATAAAATAAGATAAATAGCTTAAGTAACTATTTGGCAGAAATTCGATTATCCTGGTGTGCCTGAAAGAGACACCCATAGTAGGTGATGGGGAATATATATATATATATATTAGAAAACTAAACAAATCAGATTAGCATATATCTTAAGTTTTAATAGACAATGCTACAATATAATTTAATTGCAAGGCATTTTCTCTGATTCTGAAGATTAAGAATGAGTGCAGTATTTCATGTGACAATGCAGACCCATTTGTAACTTGCATATTTTGCCAATCATGCTTTAATAGTAATAGTATGTTAAATAATTAATAGTAACCCACCAGACTGAAGTGAACACTTTTCATTTGTTCAATGTTAGTCTCATCCTTTTAAAACAGCACTCGAGTGTGAAATATTTTTAGGTTATTGAAACAGACTTTACTCATTTTATTTGTATGTTTATATCCAGTTGCACCCTCATAAAAAAACAACAACAAACAAACAAACAAAAAACATATAGATTCTCTCAATATTGATGCTGAGTAGAAAAATGGAGTCCATGCCCCTTACAAGTGGAATATGTCACACAGACAGAAAGAAAACAATAACTTGAGAACCTATATGTTTAAGTTTGTTGATAAGTCCTTTGAAATTGCAGCTGAAGGCAAATATTGATTTTGTTTAATTTTGTTTTCTTAACTCCTTTAAGTGTAGAGCATGAAAATCTTCTGAACAAATGAACATCAATTTATCAAACTCTTGAATCAATAAAGCCTTACATTCGGAAATTCCAAAAGTGATAGTCCTTTCAAAAACAATGTTGGCTCTAGATCTAAGTCAAGTAGGCCTACTCAAGCCAAATTTACATTTATTTATTTTTTACTTTGAAAAATTATAATGGTCAACCTAGGTTATCCCCATGTGGCCAACATTCTTTTCACAGCAATATACATCAATTGTTAAATTTCTAGGATAATCTTGAGAGCTGTTTTTGAGATCAGCTTTCCAGGATCCTGAAGGTTTCATGAAGTTCTGAATTGAATAGAGGTATGGTAAAAAGGCAAAAAAAAAAAAAAACAACAGAAAGTCAGATCATAAGAACATAATCATAAAAATATGTATATTCAAATTATTAAGGTCCCACAAGTGCATAAAAAAATGTTGGTTTTCACCACATTATCTGTTTACACAAAATATGAAAGTTCTGATTTTCAGCTCAGTATGAGCTAATGAAATACCACAGAATACACAAGATAAATTAACTATACTTATGCATCAACTCCCATTCTTAACTCAATATACAAATGTTGGGAAAAAAATATACCTCTATATTTAATCACATTTTCATACTTTGAATACATATATATTGAATAATATATACAAATATTTGAAGGCTTCATTCAGCCATTATGTACCACAAAAATAAATTTTTTTTTTTTTACAACTTAGTCAAGTTCATCATCATCATATTGCAAAAAAACAATCAGTTTAAGCATATTGTACAGGAAGGAAGAAAAAAGTAAGTTGTACAGGAAGGAAGAAAAAAGTAAGTTGTACAGGAAGGAGACCCAAAATGAAAGCTTGTTTTAAAAAATTGTGATGATAGGGAAAAACATAAGACAGCAGAGAAAGAAGTGAATCGAGTTAATTGTAGAACATATGAAACATTTATTCGTAGATTAATTTAATATGCTATTCCTTAACAGTTTTTAAAAGATTAATTATAGTTCAAAAGACTAACTAATACACTGTGGATAATATCAAGGCTCAATCAAAGTACCAATTGTGTGTTTCTACTATGCAATATTAAAAACTTATCTTCAAATTAGTTTGTATTTTGTGCAATTGTCTTTCTCTTCAGATAAATGCTTTGAACACATAAGATAATTTCAATATTATCAGAATTGTTAATGCTAGTCAAAACTTAATTCCATAACTTTTGTGTCACTATATGGTAAGAGCGAAAATATGAAAAAATGGAAATAAATGTTCACTAAATCTACATTTCATTCATTGCCTGATAGCTATTTTAAACTAAAGGTAGCCTTTGAGACCAAAAAGGTCTAGGGAGTTGGCAGTTGTTTTTTTTTAAGGCAAAAGTTTACAAAGGTATCAAAAAAGACTACAATTTTACTTAACCTAACAGTTGCTAGGTATCTCTTACAATTGAGTGGACTTGAAGAAGTTATAAAATCCCAAATAAAACAAAATCGATCTCCAAAATTTATTTCAACAACTTGACATTTTACTACTCTGCCAGGAAGCCATATGGCAAACAAAATTTTGAAAAATCTCACTAGTAAAACAAAATTAATAATTTCTAGATTTTTTTAATTTCATAATTTCAAAGTTCTTTTAATTTTTTCCCAAAGCATTGCAGATAACAAGATAATGTAGACAGGCACAGAACTAAACAAAAAAAATCAACTATACAGCTGAGCAGGTCATTATGACATTTGAAAATTAGTGTTTGTTTTGAAACTTGCCATTCAATAGTTGTTTTATGAGAAAAAAATGTATATCCATAAGTTTAAACATTAACAGTTTGCAATATAGAAAAAAAAATTTAATAATTGTAACATTTGATAACATTATCATTTGAAGTAAAATTATCTGAGCTATTTTGTAATAGGGAATGAATGACTGCAACAGTGGTACAGCGCAAGTCTGTTTTCATGGAATGAACATTTTGTAGATTTAAAGAAATAACAATATTAATATTGTTAAAATGCTTTCAGTTAAGGGGGCGCAATTGTATTATTATAGTATACTGAAAATGAAACTGGGAACTCTATATCGGGCTTCAGTGAGATCTCAAATAAAATACAGTTGCTTGGCAAAAGCCTATGCTTCACAAACATCTCTAGCAAGTTACATTCTGTCCAGAACCAAGCAATATAGATAATGTGTGGTACATTTCATAGAACACCAATAGCCTCTGCTGAAATTATGACTTAGAGTTGGGAAAGAGCCATTATGTTAGAATACAAGAAATACAAACCTCTGGAGGATGGCTTCTCATTCAGATAGTCAGCAAATGTTTAGGTGTGGACAGGATTAAAAGGACATTCTTTATGCATTTGCATCTTTATGCATGTTGTGCTCGAACAACCCCACAGGAGAGAGCTGCTCTCACATCCATCTTGGCATTCCAACTTACAGCAAGCATTAGTAAACTACCAGAGGTGCTGAAGATGTTGATTGATCTGATGGTAAACATCAACACTAGATAGCACTGTAAGGTAAACTAAGCTGAACAACCAGAAGGATCCATTAAGGTTTACAGATATGATTCCAAGGGTGAAGTCCAAGGTACTATGATCAGATTCCTTAGAGCAGATGACAATAAATTTGTAGATCCATGTTGCTGAAATGAAGGAGTAAGAAATGCTTTGGAATACATTGAAGATTGAATTGAGGAATGAACTGTGGCACAGACAAATGTCCTCGTCTTTACAGACCCACTTTCATGCCGGGGATCTTGCTTTGCACGGAAACAGGGGAATCCTGAGGTGCACTGCCAGATAACTGGACTGTGCTACAAGAGATGAACCTCATCACAGAGCCTTAGTGTTAGGAGGCTTACTAATGGCGACAGAGGAAGCTATTTGCAGCAAAAGTAATAAAAATTAATACTGTACTCTGTATATTATATTTTAAAAGAGAGTCTATAGGATATGTTTACTGCTCTAATGACACTATTCAGGGATATGTTCTAATTCAAGTGATTTCATACAATAAATCTTAATGTACACTCAAATAAAAAGGGCGATTTGTGAGATATAAAAGCTTACAAGTAATAGGATCAAATTCAGAATTGTGAAAAGAACAATTCTATAACCCTTAGTCACCTATGCCAACTACAGTGTTCTATCTAGGTAAATGTGAAAATGGATAAATGTAGAGCTCCAAAAGCAAAGCTAAATGGTACAATAATGTACAACACTAAATAATTGTACTCTATAAAAATAAAAAAAATAAAAGACTAATGCTAACTAAAGGATGTAGATACTGATTGTTGGAAAAAATTTTACAAATGAATACCTGGGTTTGAATTCATGACCCGAATGCTTCACTGAATATCATATCAACCATTTATAGCCTTAATTATGTGTTCACCCGTATAATGGTGTATAAGGAATGCAGACTATCACAGTTAGCACTAGACAATTAAAACAGCATTCCGGTTGACCTTTTTTTCTCCCAGCTCTTACACCCAATTTTTTTCCTGTAACTGGAAAATGTTCTCGTAATTTTAAGAAAAGGTTCATACAATGGCACAGAGATAACAAAAGAATGATATGGCATTCACACTTTATACAGTGAGCAGAGAAAACATTCTGATGCATTAGTTGGCACACAGCAAACAAGAATGTGAGACTGTTGCTGCCTTACATGGCTTGGACATTAAATAAATGAAGATGTTTTCTTCAATAACAAACACAAATACACTTTCAAATAATTACTTAACTTCCTTTATATTAGATAACCTATAAGAACCTATATATATATATTTATTTATTTATTTATGTTTATCTATGTATCTGTGCCTAACCAGATGTTGAAGCTAGCAATATTATTGCTCTTGTTTCTATAAAAAAAAAATATCTGGAAACATACAATGCCAAAAGGTAAGCTAAATCAAAGGATTTAGTCTTTATAATTAATTTTTGAGATGTTACAATAGAAAAGGGGCATAATAATATGGAGAGAGGAACAGTCATATTATAAAAAAAAAAAAAAGGTTCACAGATAAAAAGAGTTGAAAAGAAACAGAAAAATATATGCTGTACTGACTCTTTAGTGTTATTACAACTGATTATGTAAAAAAAATAAAAATTTTAGTGTTAATTACAAATAGGTGATCTAAATAGTTTGCAAGATGGTTACAATCTCTACAATACTCAATAATGTACATTAGTATTTGAACTTTAAACAATGAATATAATACATATGCATCCTCCTGGATAAGTAACATAACAAGAGCCCATTTATTTATTTACTGTCTAACTACAAATTTTGTTTAGACGAGGACAATTTTTTAATGGGGACACATCTAAACTCAACGTTAACTAGAAATATTATCTTGCAATGCTCATGTAATAACAAGCCAATCTTACTGAGCCCTTACTTCAAACCTCGGATCAATTTACATTGTTCATAACTGAATGTATTGTCTTTGAATACTCAATAGAAAAGTTTTGCACTTAGATTTTCCCAACTACAGAAGAATTTAATAATAAAGAAAACATAACAAAAAAAAAAAGTAACTAATAAATTGATGAAGAGAGTGTGCCATAATAATTTGTAAACAGCATCCTGTTGGTGATCCTTCTCATGTGTCACACATTATATCACATACAAATTGATGTCTCTATTGTCTCAAAAAACACTGACCATGCATTAGCATTAGCTAGAATGAGATTAATAAAATTAAAAAAAAACTATTATTAAGAAAACAGCTGGCTATAAGAAGGAGAAAGAATGTGACTATGGTGAAATCAGATTTTTTATAATCAAATTTTGCTCCAAGATAAGACAAACTGCATATTTCACTGTTTTTATAGCAGTTAATTTATAAGCCAACAATAAGCATATTAAATTATAAAACCAAATATGCTTTAGGAAGACCAAAAGTAGCTTTTACACCGATTTAAAGCAGGATGAAGGTGAAATCAGATTTTCAAGTGTGCTTTTGAGTTTTTAGATAAAATGTAACAAAACAGAAGCCTTTATAAAAAAAAATAGAATTCACCACGTTCAGCATGAGATTGAGCAGTGATAGCTTTTATAAGGAGATCCTAACCACATTCAGATGATCTAAACCACAAGGACAGTATCACAGCCCAGAGTAAAATATATCAAAACAATATGAACATGTCAAAATTGAAATACATTCCATCTTAAGCCTACATGTCTCACAGCTTAACACACAAGTCAATATGAACAGAAACACTCAAGATGTCAGCTGAGAATGGTGGATCAAAGCTCAGATCAGGTTAGGGACTACAATTATTTTTGTAAAGGGAGTTGGAACAGAGAAAGATGGAGCAATGAATACTCTTAAAAACAAAAAGTACTAGCATTGGTGCGGTCACTTTCCTCAAAAATGAGACGAGTTCAACTTAATAGCCCATTGAAAATTAAACGAAACTTTATGTCCATGGTTCATAAACCTCTTTTCTCACAATTTTCCTATTGGGTCAACTTTTATATCCTTTATACCCACCAATGCATAAAACAATCCACTATTTATACCTTAATGTCTGTAATAATCAGAACTGTGTTCACTAGATTGAGAAATGATAATTAGAAATATATACATACGTACAAAAAAAAAAAGGATATATATTGAGAGAGAGAGAGAGAGAGAGAGAGAGGTTAACAACATTATGCTTCCAATAACAACTGCTGAATCATTCTCTATTAGAACTAAATGCAAATCAAAATGTGACAAATGCAAACTTGTGCCTAAGGAGATAATTCGAAATAGTTAAGGCATAATAAGCAACTAATAAGCCA